CACTCCTGGTGGTTGAGGCCCTGAGTATGGCAATGACAGTAGTCTTATCCACATCAGGAGTGGAGGCGGTGTGAGTGGGAGAGAAGGTTCCTTATCATTCAATAGCTGGGACAGAGCACTATAACAAGGAGGGACGATCAGGGTCTGGGGAGGAGAAAGCAGTGAAGGAAGAAATCAAGGGAGAGGCAGATGTATGGAGTTCTGGAGTGGACTTTGGCACCTTGGGATCCTGTCCTACCTCAACCAGCCAGTATTTGCATTTCCTTGTTCCCACAAATAATCCAAACGCTACAGGTACACAAGGCCTAGGGACATGGTGTATTGGGCCTTCCTGAAGAGCATCAATCACCTTGACCCTGCCAACACTGATACCAAACCAGCTATGATGCTGGCAAAAGCAGTGTCAGTGCCAATGGCTCCTCCAGTTGGAGAAAAGCATCTGTGCCCAAGAAGCTCAGAAAAAGGAGCATTGAGGGGCCATGATGACCCTTGGACTTAACTCCTGCTCAATGGACTGGGGATGAAGAGAACCACCTGGCTGAACATGAGGTTCTGCTGGAGGCAATTGGACTGAGTGTGACCAGTGGGATCAGCATTAAATAGTAGAGCAATATAGTTCAGTGTTCTGGTAGCATAATGTGGTCTCAGAAGTTCCTGTGCTGGTGCCCTCAGGGCTCTTTGATATCCCCCCCCCCGCCCATGGAGAGGCTGGGGACCCACACACTAACATTTTAGAAAATTCAGTTTCTAAAGTGTGGCAGTTCTAGTAAGATTTGTAGCACAGTCCCACACGTTTCCTGAGAAACAAGCCATACTTCCTCAGTGTGTTACCTCAATGTGTTTAGAACTGCAACCCTGGCAGTCTATAACGAATAAGTGGGAAAGCACTTTAAAAGTATGGGCAGGGAGTCCCAGTAATTTGTACCCCTATATACCAAATAAGTAGAATATGTGACTTAGTGAGAAAATGGCAAAATATTGCTTGTCGGAAAAATAAAGTGAAAAGCTAAACAGTTTCTAGCAGTGGAAAGATACAAGAATTGCAGGGGGTCATACCACAATGTGAGTCAGCAGTGTGAGTCAGCAGTCTGAAGCAACGGATAAACACACAGTCAGAAAATTAGAAGTTGTGAACTTTACCTGCTTAACTCACAAACTATTGTCAGTTTTGAAAGCATGCCTTGTGAAATATCTGGAAACGAGAGTTTTCTGAGTGTATTTACAAGAAATAATCACAAACACCAAGATGACGTTTTTAGATTTATCCATTCACAGAAATATCCACCCACAAAAACTTTCCTACGCCAAAACAGAGGATTATTTTTAATACTGTACTAGGAAATAGCACCAGGACTTGTGTCTCTACAAAAAGCTATTCTAAGCACAAGGAGGACCATCATTTGTAGCAGAAATGGATGATGAATCTTTCATTCAGACTCTCTAAATGATTGGCAGTGGATCAGAAAATCTGCCTTCTGACTCCAGGGCTGAATCTAAGCCCAGAAACATCTAATTTCCACAATGCACAGCGTATATCTTATCCACTCAGGTCACTTTTCCTCACTGTGCCCAGCAGCACATAGTACCTTCTTAGCATCCATCCAGCCACTAAGTCATATACCCATCAACTTAAGTAACTGTCAGTAGATCTCAGATTTCAAGTAGATGGTACAAACTTGAAATATGATTTAAAGGTCTAGAAGCATCTTGTCTATCTATTTCACAGTGATCTAGACACCCCCTGGAAAGTGATAGACAGTTCCTCATGTTAAATGCATTGCATCCACTTATCTGGGGGTATGAACTCAGTGGACATGCATAGGATTGCACTGCTAACATTTTTATGCTGTACCTATCTGATTTGGCTGGATAGCTATGGAGCCAGAGGCTGCAAGTTTCATTCACCACTGTGCATCTCAGAAGAGTCAGCCTGTCCCAGGAGGCCCCCAGAAGAGAGGAATAGTAAACCACTTCTGAGTACTTTCTACCTAGAAAACCCCCCCAAAGCCAGAATTTACTTGACAACATACGATTATTATTATACTGGTATGGTCACAACAAAGATTTCTTAGAAAACATTTAGCCAGCTCATTACACTTCTCCCTTCAAGAATGCTGGTATCTCAGAAGAGTCATCCTGTGTGATGTTGGACAAACTGCACAGTCCCAGGAGGCCCCCAGAAGAAAGGAATAGTAAACCACTTCTGAGTACTTTTTACCTAGAAAACCCCCCCAAAAGCCAGAATTTACTTGACAGCATACGGTTATTATTATACTGGTATGGGCACAACAAATATTTCTTAGAAAACATGCCAGTTCATTACACTTCTCCCTTCAAGAATGCTGGGGTTAGAAGCACTGGAGCCCAGTGTAGTTCAAAATCTGTGTGGTTTCTTATGCTTCCAGAAACAAAAACATAACTACAAAGTATTCGCGAAGGCTTTCACAGCCAGGATCTAATGGTTGTTGTGGGTTTTTCGGGCTCTTTGGCTGTATTCTGAAGGTTGTTCTTCCTAACGTTTTGCCAGTCTCTGTGGCCGGCGTCTTCAGAGGACAGCACTCTGTGCTCTGGATGTCCTCTGAAGATGCCAGCCACAGAGACTGGCAAAACGTCAGGAAGAACAACCTTCAGAACAAGGCCAAAGAGTCTGAAAAACCCAGAACACCCATAACTACAAAGCTTAAATAGTTGATTAACACACACATACTATATACATAACAGTTATCCATGTCAGGGTTTTCTTCCGTAGCATTGATAATCCTTTCCGTACAATACTGTGTGTCATGAGCCTTAAAGTCCCTGATCTAGAGGCTGAATTAGAGACATCGTGCTTGAGAGCAAGTAAACCACTTTGACAATTTCAGTGTTGAACTCACAGGCTTCTGGGTGGCCAAGGGCACAGTATTTATTGAAAATTTATTTATTGAATAGTAATTTATTTATTGGTTTATTCATTTATCTATTGGGGGGAAATCCATGTGCTGTATAACTCAAACCCTGCTGTTTCGACTCCTGCATTGTTGAACTCATAGGCTTCTGGGTGGCCAAGGGCACAGTATCTATTGAAAATTTATTTATTGAATAATAATTTATTTATTGGTTTATTCATTTATCTATTGGGGGGAAATCCATGTGCTGTATAACTCAAACCCTGCTGTTTCGACTCCTGCAATTCAAGGGAGAAGTGAAAATGAGATACATATCTATCCGTGAGTCCAAAGAGTTTAAAAAACATCACAGATTAAAGAGAAATTATTGGTGCACCATTCTTTTAGACTGGTCAGGAATCAAATTAGTGCCACAGCCAAACCTAGGAAAAGGAAAAGAAAAAAGAAACTTTTAGGGTGGTAGGGGATAAGACACAGTCTCAGATAATCCACTCTGAGAAGGTTTCTGTTTTCTTTCGAGGAAAGGATTGAAAAGAATAGCAGTTGAGTGAACGTGGAGAGACCCAGGCTGTTAGTTCGCCTACAAAATGAAGGAGGAGTAATGTAAGTGAAATAATTCCTCCTGCGGTCCGCGCATCATCCTCACAGATGTAGACATCCGAATTACTGCTTTTCAACAGCCTTGCCCTACTGTGAACGTCAACTTATTGAGTCGTCGGGATTTGCTGGCCGCGATCTCTCTTCCTTGCCCCGCTTGGTCCAAATTCAGAACATTCCCTTTAAAAGTGTGCGCGGGGGGGGGGGAGAAGAGGAGAGGAGGAGAAAGGGGAGCAGCTTTCTCAGCCGCGGCTGCTCCGTTACATCGAGGAGGCCGATTCAAGCCTATTGTGTGCGAGTCAGCGCACCCTCCCAGCCCCGCCCCTTTCTCCATTTCAGCCTGGACCAAACCATCCAGAACCGAGGGGCCCGCAGGAGGGCAAGAAGCCAAGGGGCATAAAAATCCTCCCGGGAAGCGCCGCTCTTCCGGGAATTCCCCCGGCGAAACGGCAGGCTCGAGTTCCTGCTGCGTGGCGGATGATCTGGAAGGTCGCCCATGGATGGGAGAGAAGCGGCCCTTTCTCCGGGACTCCCCTCTGCCTCGCCGCCCCAGTGGGAAGGACGGAGCTCGGCGCGCCGCTAGCGGCTTGCAGCTACAGCGAGAGCCGCCGCCGCCGCTCCTCGGTCGTGGGAGAGTTTCATTCAATGCGCGCAGGAAGCTCCGCGCGCTTGCTGGCGGGACGGCTTAGTGGGCGCCGCGGCTCCTTCGCCTGGGCTCCGTGTCCCGGGCCGGCT